CATATGAGAATGAATCTGCAGAAAGAACAAGACGAGACACAGGACAGAGGCCAAGACATATTTATGTAATATTTATTTAAAAATATTTTACCCTGCCTTTCTCCTTATATATATATATATATTTCAGCTTGAAGAAGACCTTAGAAAACAGTATACAACAGGATGAGATGTTTTGGAGCTTCTGTAGATAGACTTTCTGAGATTCTGAGACATGGTTGTTGCCTTTGTTGTTTGCAAGAGTTCTCCATGAAGGATGTTGCCCTTTGCTTTAGGAGCATCCGATGGATGCAGAGGCTATCTTGACACACACTGCATCTGCAGATGGATAGCATCTTCTCCAGAGTCTTAAACTGCCGAATAAAGCACATGGAGCAAAATGAATGAATGTGAAATGAGAATTAAGTTGGCAGCTCTAAAACAGCTAGGTTTTCACAAGTAACTGTGACCTCTATAGTTTGCAGACCAAACATTTCTGCGGCACCAGCATCTTGCTCTTCCCACCAATCATGGAGGCAGCTCCACCATCTTAGCAGCCAGGTAGGGAGACTTGTCCTCCTGCCCCCTGCATGGACTGGCCAGTGAGCCAGGTGATGGCGGAGCTACTTTTGTGATTTGTGGGAACAGCGTGATGCTGGTGGCACAGCAGCACATGAGTGGCCAGGCCAGTTCCGAGGGCCAGGTCCTCATTAAGTGCACCTGTGACAGGGATATCCATACGTTTCTGAGTATCCCCATCTCTACCACAGGTTTACACACACAAACACTGCACCTGCTGTCACACTCACATCATTTTCCTTAAAAATGAGTGGGATATGAATCCATGAATAGAGGCAGCTAACAGAAGAACAAAGGGAATCCATGTTTCATGTCATTAAATTTATTGAAAATGCAAAAATTCCCTCTCTTGTGTCCCAAGCACAAGCAATCCTGTATGCAATGTTTTCATTTCAGTCTCCCCGCCCCCAGGCTTTGTGATCATAACTTCTGGCTGATAGTGATAAAAGGTCCACAGCAGACTCTGGCTTGAGACTTCATTTAATGTGAACAAAAATTACCTTTTCTGACTAGGATAGGGCTAACTTAGATTCAGTATGTTCAAGACTGTGCCCACTCATCTTCTTCCACTTCTCAGGCTATTGGTATCTCCTGGGTGATTTCACTGGGGCTGAGAGCTGTTTTTCAGAATTGCTGACAGCTTGAGGGCTCCATTCCTAAGGGGCAGAGTTAAAGGGGTTAATTTGCATGTTTTTATTATTACTATTCATTTTAACACGTTAAAACAGGGCTTATATATTATAAAAGGTACTGCAATATGGTTCTGTTAACTGAAAGTTTAACTTAAAGTGACTTTTTAAACTGCAAGAGCTCCCTTTTGCCTTTTAGTGACCAGAAATATAACTATTTTTAAAAATGATGTTTAAATGGGGGTATGAGGAGCCCCCATGGTGTTTGGGGCCCTTAAAAATATGGCAAAATTGCTCGCTAAGCCTCTGCAAAGGACAAAGCTACTTGGTGGGTGTGGAGGGGCTGGGGGGCTGAAGGGGGCCTGGAAAAAAAAAGGACCATGAGAGCCACATACAGACCACATCTTGCCTCCCCCCCCCCAGTTTAAACATTCTCAAACACAGAATAACCAATTCTGATTATGCGATTTGGGGTCAGTTGACATGACTGCTTTATTGAACTTCTGGATAACTTGGTGATTTAAGTATCTTCCTCTGGAGCCGGAGGTTGAGAGTTGGATTCTTCACTGGGCCTCCTTGACAGGGGCTGGACTCAGTTCTGATTATGATGATGGCTCTCTCTCTCCTTTTGTGATGATGCACAGCATTTGAAAGAATCGTTGTTTCGAATTACTGCAAGATTTAATTTTGCTTGCCTTTGCTCCCTTCATGTTTCAAACATTTCTGTCAGTGAGCAAAATGGCAGCAGACAGCACAACAACAGTTCGAGTAGCGTGGTTTGTCATGGGCACAGATCTGGGTGAACAGGGATGAAAGTTGCTGGCTGCAGTGAGAAGTGATTATTTGAAGCTGCCTACTTATTGGTAACTTCTATCAGCCAGAGGGTTCATGCTAGTTCTTCACCTTAAAAACTTAATCCTAAATCTTTACAACTAGTCAAGAAGCAGAGTGAAAGGTCATCACGCATACACACTAGGAGAGTACCTGCTGCCATGGTGAATGGTGTGCATTTCTGTGTAAGATTGCTGTAGACATTACACCATCCACCTGCAGTTTCTTCGTGGGTAAGTGGCAGCAGGGCACCCTAACTGTCAAAGAGGTGAGCAGTTCAACCAGAACTTGGGAGTTAGTTTTTTGGACTGCTGTATCCAGAGTCTACAAGCTAATTTGGCCAAGAGCCATGCTGGCTGGGAGGTTCTGGGAGTTGGAAGTCCAGAAAACTAACTTCTTCCAAGCTCTAAATTTGATCCCAGTTACCTTGGCCATAAAGAATGAAGCCTGCTCCTTTACGCACAGCTGTGCTCTTCATCTGTTCAAAACTGCTGCCCCAAAGGGTGACATAATGTTGAGTTGTCACACTTTTTCTTAAATAGGAGTAATGAGCTGGCAGATCATGTGGCCCCATAGTGTATTCATAATGTGGCCTTCAATGCTTCTGATCTGTTTGGGGTGGATTCATTGTGCAGGCCTCCTTCTACGTACACTCCATACCTGTTCTTCTTCACACTGTTTGAATTGGCATTGGTAAAAGCTGCCATTTTGGACTAAAAGTTCCAGAATCTCCATAGTCAGCATGGCCATTTCGGTTATGAGACCCTGGGAGCTGTGGTAAAAAAAAAGTTACTTTTCCCCATATTTCTGGTTCAAAAATCAGGAAGAGGTTCTTCACATAATCATTCACCAACAATAAAAGTTTCATCCTGCATCCTATATGTTTGGCCAGAATCTTATCAGTGTCTATCTGAGGTTTGCCTGACTGACCATGGCTAATGATAGCTAACTGACAAAAGTCCTGGGGTGCATCTCACTCGTGCATCTGGTCATGTGCCCAACTGTGAACCGAGATGTGTCCTGACACCTTGATAATTGAGGCAAATTATGCAAATCTTACATGAACACTGGCTTCTTGAATGTAATTTCAGCAGCCCTTCACTTCAGAGGTAAACACTATATATTTGCTATAATTTGCTAGGATGTTGCCTTCATTTCCCCCATCCCATCATACATTGTGTTACGCTTTCTCTTGCTACCAGAAAACAGTGAAGAAGTGGAAATTGGATTTTTAGATCCAGCACAAACCTTTGTGGATATCAGCTTCTTTTGACCCTTTTGGTTATCACCAAGGCAACTTTAAAATGCAGAGAAGATTTGCCCTACTTTTGCTGCCTATGTCTCACTTCAGCAGCTGATTTCCTTCAGACCTAAAGCCCTCAGGCTTTTTAAAGCTGCAGTCAATTTAGACGTTAACATTGTCAAAAGAAGGGTGGGAGAACACTGGCACTGCCTCAAATTTCTTACCAAATGACCAGAAACATGATGAAACCAATGATCTGGGATGGACGAATTTTCTTTTAAAGCAATGGATATATCCATAATATTGGAATAAATAATGTATCAATGTACATTTTCCATAGCATATATACACAGTATAAACTTGTATGTGTACTATAGTTTTGGCAGCATCCACCAGATCTGTTTTAAATCAGACTGGGAGCCCAACTGCTCCTGGTTCAAATTGCTCCTTAGCCATAAATGTACATAGGTAGCCAAAGCCAACCCACTTTGCTTAGCCTCCCATCTCATTCCCATTATGGGGATAAAAACACGGTTTTGGATCCAAAAGTTCCTTTTACTGATAAAGGGATTGCTTATGTCAGTAGAAGGTGATCCTGAAATAAGAGTCCTGTTGGAAGAGAATAATGTTTAGCTTTGCATCACTGATATACTGTACATGGTAGCAGTAGCTCCCAATGGTATCTGAAACGCTCTCTCTCGATGTGTATATATATGTGTGTGTGTGTGTAAGATGTGCCATCAAGTCAGAAATTGCGTAAAGCGACCCTAACAGGGCTTTTAGGGTCAGCGAGCCATTTAAGGAGATCTATTCCCAGTTTCATCCCCACCAAAAAGTTTCTGTCGTGAGGATTTGAGTCCTAGTCTGTCACTCTATCCACTACATTACACTATACTTATGTAATAAATGCTAATTATTGTACCTCATATATATAAAAAAATGATAATGAAAAATGATTTTCATGAAAGAATGAAATCATATGGAGGAAATGAGCATTGAAAGTTGAGAAATGGTAAGTGAAAGCAGTTTAAATTGGCTTCTTTTACTTTTTTTTTTTTTTAAATATGAGTCCCATTCTGTGATTCATTGTTTATTGTGCACTTTTGGCATTTGGGGATCCCTGTACTTCACCAATAGCAAATCAATTATATATCATATCTGGAGGGAAGGCATAGTTGCTTGCTCAAGCAAATTCCATCTGTTGTTTAAAGACATCCTTAAGAGGCTAAAAGAAAGATTACACAAATACTCCTAGAAGCCTCAACATCTCAAAGATGGTGGGTAGGTTTGAAGTACAACATACTGCTTTGTAAGAGGATAGAAAACAAAGCTGTTTTTTTACACTGCACTCACTCAAAGCCTAATGTGCCATATACAATAGGAAGGCAAGATACCTGCCATTAAACATTAGTAAGCAGTTTTCACTTTTGCACACAATATACAGTACACTACAATTAAAGTGACAGAGACCAGACATCCCAAATTATACCATAGCAAAAGGGCCCTTGCAGCCACCCTGTTCATTTTGCACTGACTGAGCAAGTGGCTGGCCTATCTCTGATTTGTCAAGTGTAAAAGTCACTACGTGGTAAAAGATTCCAAAGATACACTGGGCACCACATTGAATCATTTTCTTGAAGGCTCCATTGCTACAAGTGTTCCATAATTATCCATGTATGTAGTTCTAGTCATTTATTTATTTAAGTTATTTATTTACCTGTGTAATTTTGTTTTTCTTGCAGAAGGAAATGACAGAAAGGATTTGCCATTAGAGTCTCTTGCTTATCACTGCAGCATGATCATGGTTCTGGACGAATGGTTCTTTGATGGACAAGATGATGATCCAGCGACTTGTGGCTAGGAATGCAAGGGGCTTCCTGCGCTTGTGACTACATCCTCAGTGCTTTTGGAAATAGTTCATATGAACTCCAACAGCTTTGTTCATCTGTCTGTCACCTTCACCTTGGCTTTCCCCCCCGTCTCTTGACTTTTGTTTTAACTTCATTCTTCTGAGACCCACATTGTTTCACAAGCTAAAGGAGGAAATAACATACAGAGCACGTTACCATAGTCTCTCAAGACTGAAGGATGCCTACTACTGTTACAGAAGATAAATGATGTAGGCATTCCAAACAGAAGAATATCACCATCCACTTTTCCTCAACCTGTAAGGCATCTAGTCATTAGTCTCCTACCTATTAAGCCAGCAGTTTAGTATGTCCAAAACAGAATATGAACCTTCCACTAATGTGTCAGCAGAACAAATAGCTTCAGTTTACCTAAAACAATGAGCCAGATCAAATGCTAACCTAGGGGAGACAGAAACACTGGTGCCAATGTGGTAATCAGCATTGCAAAACAATCAACGCCTCCTTAACCTTTAAAACCACAAAGCAAGTTAAGTTTCTTCCTTCAATGAATTCTGAAATAGTTTAGCTCTCTTTAAATTCTATTATGGTAAGTGTGAGCTATCTTAGCAAGTCAGATCAATAGCCCATCTATCCCTGCACAATCCATCACAGTAGTAGAACCAATGCCCCCTCAAGGTGTCATCTAGAAAGATTTTTTTTTCCAGTCCAGCTCAGATACTGAGCCTTGTGGCGCAGTGGTTAAAACGCTGTACTGCAGCTAAAACTGTGCTCACGACCTGGGGTTCAAATCCCAGGTAACTGGCTCATTTTACCGAGGTTGGTAAAATGAGTACCCAGCTTGCTGGGGGGGCAATGTGTAGCCTGTATAATTAAATTGTAAACCGCCCGGAGAGTGCTTGTAGCGCTATGGGGCAGTATATAAGTCATAAAGAAATAAATAAATTCTGGAGGCATCAGGGGTTGATTCTGGAATATTCTGCTTTCAATGTCTGTGCTTTGTCACTGAGCCATCACCTCCTTTCTATCATTCTCAGAATTCACTTGCTCACAGCTGCTCTCTTCATTTTGAAATAAGATATAGTGAGTGATTCTTTCTTTCTTTCTTTTAATCTGAGCCACAAACATGGATAAGTTTTACTAGTTTATTAAGTTAAGGTTTTATACTTTCTCTTCAATATTTATACCTTGGATTGTTTTACTTTTTCAGACTATGAAGCTTCAATACTAAAATTGCATAGATTTGGGCAAGCACTTATTTGTATATGGAAAGACATACCATGTTTTTCCAGATTAAGCACTTACTTTGTATGTGAGGCAATAATTTAGTCTCAGCGCTTCTGGGTGTGAATCAAGGTGCTCTTTCCAGGCATCGTCTTCCATTTGTAACCATCCTGTTTTAACCACTGCATCTTCAACCATTTTTCCTTTCATGTGAATAAAAAGATGGAATAACTAAGCAATGTCCTGACTAGAAACTGAGGCTCCATCTGGAAGCATGCACAAATATGCCTTTTTTCCATATAAACAAAGGGCAAAAAAGATCCTAGTAGAAGAAATTTTCTGCTATTATTTTTAATAATAGTAAAAGCATTAAGATGTTTTCATTTGTAGCTCTTTGTAAATTTTTACCTTCGTGGATTTGTCCAAATTGCTTAGTCACCTAAAAAGCTTCATCACAATATCTGTGTAACTCTTTATACATTTTAATTTTTTTTTATAATGTACTTTTTAGATTACATTAAAACATTCATTTTTTCCCCCAAAAAAGTTAACAGGGTCTGATTTTATTCTCTTATGTTTATTGAATAATGTTAAGGTACTTAAAAGCACTTGTTTATAAGGCTGAGCTGGTCTACTGAGTAGTTTGAGTTCCACATATCTACCCAGTTCCTATTTAGGGAATATTTGGCAGACATATCTGATGTAGTATGTGCTGATTTCTATATACCATCAAAAATGCTTCAGCGTAGGCTGTGGGATTTCTGGGTGTTTCTGTCTCTTGCAGGATCATCATTTAGTTCAAGAAACTATGGGCGTGACCAAACAGAAGTTTGTCTCAAGTTGATGAGAACGTCTCTATCAATGCCACAATTCACACAGAAATGTTTAGTTACCTCAGGAATGTGTGTCAACACATTACCTCTTCTCTCACGCCCTTCTTTGGTGTTATTACTACTCTCTTACCTACACACCTTTTACACCAATTTATATCCTTTTTTATATATATATTTAGGAAGTGAAATGGCACTGAACTGACAAGACATGGTAAAGATTTGAGTTGGTGCTCTATAAAATTTAGCATTACACCACGAAACTAGGAGATATTTGCAAAAAATACAATTTATAAATTGCATTGCAGTTGTTGTCCTTACCAGTGCAAGCAGAAGGCAGGCAAAAGAAGTACGATATACCTCCACCAGTTATGTCATTTGGACACACATAACAATGAAACCCTAAAGGACCAATACACACAAGTCAATCACACAAGTCAAAAGCAAGACAAAATAATGTGAGTGGAAACATTACAAATAAACACAAGCCTCATTAGCTGAACAAAATATGCCACATATTCCTGCCAAAAGATCAGATTTACTTTCGATTAGCACTGTTTACAGTCAACAGAATAAATATCAAAGGGAACAGTAGAAAACACTGCACAAGTCACTCCCTTAGGCAACTGATTGTATAAATTCTTCAGTGAACAAACACAATTTTGTAAAAATAAAAAAGACGAACTTGCCATACTGGCTGTGGAATTTTGTGAACAGTAGTCCAATAAATGCTCCAAAGCTAGGGCTTAGATTCTACATATATGTGTTGCAACAGGTTTTGTTTGAGGAGAAAAGGCAGAATGTTTTTTTACTGAGGTAGCAGCTGCCATTTATGGGTAGAGTCTTATTCTCTTATGCAGTTGTGAAAGAGCAAGTGTATACACAATAGGCATATGCCACTTATATTTTTAGGGTGTGTGTGTGTGTGATTTCAATTCCCCAAATTATCCAAGAATTCTCTATTAAAAATTCTGGGAGTTCCAGCCCACTGACCCATAGCTATTGTCACCTATGTTTTGCTTCATGGCTGCATAGCCTAACTCCAACCTTGCTTTCTGTTGTGAATGTACAAAGGACGCTGCCTTGGTGCTTCCTGGGAGTGGTACTACTTTGGGAGGAACCCTCTATAGTGTTTAAAGGGCAGTGAGACTACCACTCCCAGGAACCACCATGGTAGCTTCCTATTTTATACATTCGTGAGAGGAAGTAAGCCCTGCTCCAAATGAGCAAAATAGAGGTGTCAGCAGGTATGGGTCAGTAGGCGGGAACTCCTGGAATTCTGCCTGCAGGATTCTAAGGTAATTCTGAGAGTTGGTGTCCAGAAAAGCCAAATGGCACACCCTCAATATTACCATTTTCTCAGGCTTTCTGTCTCCTGCCAGGTCTTCCAATATAGTAGCACAATTGATCATATATATGTGGAGGAAACTGCTTGCATGGCTGGTCTTAACGTTCACAGCTTTTCTTCAATTGGATTCTCATCCATAAGTTTCAGTACTTACGGTTTCAAAAATATTTCTTATTTATAGGTAGAACCAGTTACCTCAGGAATTGGTGAGTGCTCCAACACTGGAGGCATTCTAGAAAAACTTAGATAATCACCTGGCAGATATGTTTCGACTGTATTTCTGTATTGAGCAGGGGGGTGGATCTGATGGCCTTGTAGGCCCCTTCCAACTTCACTTTTCTATGATTCTGTGATAAGGCCTACAACAGTAATTGGCAGAATTTCTGAGGCTTTTTCAGTTGTTTAACCATGCCAGTGAATCAAATGAGAAAATGTCATCTCACTCTCTCCTCCATTAACTAGACAATTTAAAACACATACTACAGTCCAGGTTTTCTAATGCTGCTCTTGTGCACACCCTTAACCTGGGAATATTACAGCAAAGTCTTTGACTGTGTGGATCATGAAAACTAATGGATCATTCTAAAAGAACTCATCTTTTGATGCGTAACCAATATGATTTCTGAAACGGAAAGGTATGAGATAGGGGTATATTTTATCTCCCTGTCTGTTCCATCTGTATGCAGAATATATCCTTTGGAAAGTTGAGTTAGATTCACATGAAGGAGTGAAAATTGGTGGAAGAAATATTAATAATTTAAGAGATGCAGATGGCATCATAGTACTGGCAAAAAGAAGCAATGACTGGAAATGTTAGGATTCATGGTTAAGGGAGAAAAAAGAAAGTGCGAAGTCAGAACAGCAGTTGCATATTAAGAAGAAAAAAATGTATCTTAAGAATTAATATAGAACTGTAATTTTGACAATGAAAAATTGCAATTGTTACAAGATTTTCAAGACCTTGGTTCAATTATCAGTGAAACCAGGACCACAGCCAAAGAATCACAAGAAGACTGAGACTTGGAAGAGCAACTTGAAGGAACCAGAAAAGATCCTCAAGTGATCACAAGAAGACTGAGACTTGGAAGGGCAACCTGAAGGAACCAGAAAAGATCCCCAAGTATAACAATGCATCACTTAAGATCAAGGCCAACATCATCCATGCTAAGTTATTTGTAATCACTATATATAGATGTGAAAGCAAGACAGTGGAGAAAGCCAACAGAGAAAAAACTTATTCATTTGAAATGTAATGTGGAAGAAAGCTTTCTTCAATGTCTTGCTTTCACATCTAGATGTAGAGAATAACTTATAACTTAGCATGATCTTGGCCTTGATCTTCACTGATGCAGTCTTACACTTGCATTGCTATATAGATACAGTATATTACCACAAAGACAAATACGTGAGTGCAAGATCAAATTAATTCTGAACTCTCTCTAGAAACAAAAAAGATTAAACAGAGGCTATCATACTTTTGACAGATCAGAAGACAATGCTGACCAAAAAAAAAAAGAAAAAAAAAAGAAAATGTTAAAAAACGTTAAGTGTAGCAGGAAAAGAAAGATACCTCAGAAGACAATGCTGACCAAAAAAAAAAAAATGTTAAAAAACATTGAGTGCAGCAGGAAAAGAAAGATACCCTATCAAATTGGGTACCATCAGTGCTGTATGTGACACCTATCAAATTAGAGGTGGATTTATGGAATAAAGGAAGGCTTGGCTTTGAGTTTCCAAGAGCTGAGCTGAGCTATTAGAGCTTTTGGAGATCATTGATGTATAGAGCCACTATAGGTTAGAATTGACTTGACACCACAGAACACTGAATTCCACAGTCTATTTGTACTCCCACCTAGAGCATACCCACTGAATCAACTGCTAAGTTGGTGAGTCTACACTTACATCAATCTCACTTATTCTATGGGTGTACCCTACATGGAAATACTAATTCAACTTAGGCCAATGTGACTTCGGAGCTTTCCTAAGCAGGACTGTGTTGTAAACCTCCGACAGCTAGTTAGATTCTGGGCATATTCGTGAAAGAAATCTACTAGGTTTTACTATAAAGAATTGAAGACTATTTTGCTTAGGAAGTATTTTTTTAAAAAGGAAACAGTTTGTGCATTCCTTTTTCATGCTTCCAATATAAGAGCCACACACGCACACCTCATTGAAAAAGAACATGCATTACTTTCACAGTGATTTGTACATGCTGTAGCATGCTGAAATGTGACATATTACACTAGAAATAGAAAAAGATAAATGCATGCAAATGACATTTCTTAGGGTGTTGATTTCAGCTGAACATCTGAAGTTGCTGTCAAAATAACTGTTTTAATTACAACATGCCCAGAAAGCC